GCTGTAAATAAACTGTTTATTTAATTAAACATGGCACCAGAGCAAAGGTAGATTTATTTGTGGCAGGGCACCCAGAATTTAATTAGGACATCGCTTCTCTGATCTAGTTGTAAAACATTTTTATCACAAACTTGTAAATCGTTTTCTTCTAAGAGTTTAACAGCAGATATTAAACTATTTTACCATTAACTTGAAAGGAAACAATAGAAGTTACTTTCTTCACTTAATCATTTATTTCCAAACCTTAGAAGCAAACAAATGAGAGAGTGAAATTGTCACGATCCGCCCCTGCCTTCCTGTGTCTCTCCTGCCCTGATTAGCCCTTATTGTTCTCACCTGCCCCTCGTTAACCTGCCCATGTGTTCCTGATTTCCCTGTGTATTTATACAAGTCAAGATTCGAGTCAAGTCGAGTCAAGAGTTCCTGTGTGTCGAGTCAAGAGTTCCTGTTCCCCGAGTTGAGTTCCTGTTCCACGAGTCAAGAGTTCGAGTTCCCCGAGTCCAGTGTTCTGGTGTTCCCTAGTCTCCTGTGTTATGTGGCTTGTGGGCGTCTGGTATCCGCCCCTTAAGGGGGGGGGGGGGGGGGGGTACTGTCACGACCCGCCCCTGCCTTCCTGACTGTGTCTCTCTCCTGCCCTGATTAGTCCTTATTGTTCTCACCTGCCCCTCGTTAACCTGCCCATGTATTCCTAATTTTCCCTGTGTATTTATACCTCCCTCCTTGTACCAGTCGTAGTCGGATCATTGTATGTGCATGTTCTTGTTTTGTCCTGTCGCTCCCGTTCCACCATTAAAACCATTTTTATTTTTCATCCGTGCCTGCTCTCCTGCCTCCTGAACTCTCCACCGCACATGGTCCATCATCTCCACTCCTCCCATCATGACAGAAATGTCTGCCTCTGACCCTGTTAACACTGCAAAGGGCACCGATGGAGGTTCTCTGCTTCCCCCCACATCTTCACAATCCTGCATGTTAGTGAGACTCTGGGTGAGTGTCTCTGTGTTTGTCCTACCTGTCCAGGGTGTGTCCAATCCTACACCTGGAGACAGGCTCCGCCCACCCTAGCTCTCGCATGGATAGGAACAAGGAAGCTGCAGGTCAGACACTAGTGATGATTCTCAGAGAAACTATCTGTGAGGTTCACACCTGAAAACTCAGACTCATAAATGATCCAATCATAGATAACTTCTGGTGAAGACCAGGTTTGGTTGGACTAGAGGGCCACATCAAATGCTTCACCTGCCTGGAGAGAAGTATCATGTTTGTTGTCCGCAACAGATGACGAACCACATAAATGTATAAAATCATCAACATGAAAACAGGAACAAATTAAACTCAACATTTGCAAAACATAAAAGTAGGTTTGACTATGACAAACTGAATAAATGATTCCTGTTGCGGACGCACTTCACCCACAGTCAGCAGTCGGTGGACATGTCAGTCTGTCTGGAAGCTGCACGGATTCTGGTGCTCCTCCATTCTGCTCTCAGGATGAATGAGGATAGATTCTTTGGAACTAGCTGTCATGATCTTCTGGTCTTTAGTTAGATTCGTTTTCCCTCATCTCACCTCTCCTCTCTGTGTGACCGTCACACCTGAGTTTAAAAGCTCCCCACTCGTTTCCTGTAGTTTTAGTCAACATGCTCGTTCCTTGTGTTCTTAACAAGTACTTGTTGATTTTGGTTCCTGCTCCTTCTCCTGCAGCCTGGGTCCACCAGCAGGCTGTCCCAGGAACAGCTTGGTTCTTTAGTTGATTTTAAACTTAGACCTAAAATGAAATTTGAGCTCCAACAAGGCGAGTCCCTAACAGCTGAAAAGCTCTCGATGATCAGCTGGAGGACGGAGCGTCTCCCAGGTCTCTGTTCAGGACTTCAAACATCGTCTCATCAAAGAAAACCTGTGGAGAGTGTTAACAGTAACACAAATGTCTATAATGACCCTGTCATGACCTGATGAAACCTGAAGTTCCCGTTGCTGATACTCACCCCTCCCTTTGGGCAATGTTTTTCTGCGCAAAGTTCCTGTTTTGTGCCGAACCAGTAGCCGCTTCCTGTTCTAATCTGTTAGAAAAGCACATATTCAAATAAGATTGCTCAAATCGAAAATGTACCGACTTGTGACCCATCCCTGCTTGAACTTGTGACGCATCCTTGCTTGAACGAATAAATACAGCTGTGATGAAGCCGAGAATCAGAACACTTCTGGCAGCAGCTGAAGCAAGTCGGTTGACCTTGCATGAGAGCTGTCGTGTTCTCCCTCTGCAGCGGTGAATCTTGTCTTGACTGGTTTTTTGACTCCAACATCAACTCAGAAGCAAACATCTTCTTCTCCAATCGCTCCGAACCTGTCTTGGTCATTTTTCAGGACCAACAAGAGCCATCAGTGAATCAGAAACACTTTACTGAATCAGAAAGACCGTATACAGCATTACGACACCGACAAAACAACACAATATTTTTTTTATCCATTTGTGGCCGTAAAACAACTCTTAATTAAATCAGTCTGGTGTGTTTTAGTGTTTTGTGCTGGTTCTGCATACAGAAGGAATTAGAGTCCAGTAGATCAAATATTTAAGGCAAGGCAGCTTTAATAATGATGCATTTCACACATAGAGATGCGCTTTCCATTAGCAAGAACATTAAAATCAATGTGACAGCACAACACAAATTATTTTCAGTTTTAAGAATAAAAAACAAACTGAGAGGTTGAGCAGTCACAGTGCTGAACAGTCGTTCAAAGGCTGATGAATACATGAATGTTTGATTTAAAGTATGTGTTTGTGAGCAGAATGGTAGCAAAAAGCAGCTTCACCCTGTTTAGTTCTGACCTGAGGTTCTACCAGCTGACTACTTCCTCTGGACCTCAGAGCCCTGCTCGGTGGATATACAGGAAGGAGATCCAACATGTACTCTGGCTCCATGACACTGATTCATAAACTAGTAGAAGCACGTCGAACTAGATTCTGTAGTTTACTGGTAACCGTTGTAGGGATCTAAGAACAGAAGTGAGGTGCTCGGTTCTCTTAATTCCTGTGAAGACTTTAGCAGCAGCATTCTGAACAAGCTTTGGTTGCTTCACGGCTTTTTAGTGAAGACCAGTCAAAAGATTCAAAAAATGTTTGGCTGCTTAGAAAGAAAATTCACATAAAGTAAAAATGTGTCTATGGTGCTTCTTATTCATGTTGTTGTTTAGCTTTTATCTGGTTAAGGTTGTTTTATTTTCCGTTATTTGTTTTAATGTAATTTAATTAGAATAAAAGAAATGCACCATTATAAAAACTGTACCATCTCAGAACATTAGAAGCAGACAGCTGGTTAAAACAAGACAATGAACTCTGGTTTAGATTTATGTAAATGGCAGTGGAGAGGATGCTGGGAGGAAGAGCTTTAGGTAAAATGGGACACAGAAATGTGGGGTACCAAGTATGTAGTGCATAGGATCTCTATTGTGTTTATTAATAAAACTGATATAAAAGTGGGTCGGTGGAGAATTTTATCATGATGCATATGTGACCACTAAAGACTTAGTAGGCTTTCTTACTCAGAGGTGACCTTGGGTAGGTCACCTTGGCTCCTTTTAAAACATTTATGTCCGACTTCTATTAAAGCAAAACTGGAAGTTGTGGATGTTTGAAATGTGTCCAGAATTTGTCCAACTTAGTGGAACAGGAGGGACATTGTGTGTCTTAAATATGAATGTAAGATTTTTACATAAGGAGATGGTTTTTAGACTTGGGAACGATCAGTGGACCAGCATAATGACAAGTTAGATGTTGGAGAAGAAAGTGTTGGTCTGGATGGATGGATGGATGGATGGATGGATGGATGGAGGATGAATGAATGCATGAGTGGATGGATGGATGGATGGATGGATGGATGGATGGATGGATGGATGGATGGATGGAGGATGAATGAATGCATGAGTGGATGGATGGATGGATGGATGGATGGATGGAGGATGAATGAATGCATGAGTGGATGGATG